TGGATTAGTAACAAATACTTCAAATCACGAAGGCAACAAAAATTAGCCATTTAACATTTATAACAATCAAACATGTATCATTTATTGATATCAAGTTTTATTAGTAGTAGACTTAAAGCATTATTAGTGTTCTTAGATGGTGCAGATGCCCAAGGTATACTCATATATAAGTAGATATGGAGAGATGTGCTGAAAGATTGCTTCAGAAAAAAACACTGGCATAACCCCCAACTTCAAGGTATTTATTAGTCCTGTTCTCTCCATTTTTACTTAAGATGGTTGGATGAAAACTAACTTCCGTTCTATCATACTTCACTACAGGAGCTTAAATTCTATATATCTTCCTAACCAATATAACTCAAAAAAGAAGCATAAATTCTATATACATGCACATGGATAAATTATATGAACAATTCAAGTTATTGTTCATTCAAAGTGCATCTGGGTGCTTTTTTCTGCAAGGCAAAAGGCATAAAAAGCCCTCCTCCTGATTGAATTTCTCTTTAATTTCATTACTTTTCACATGTTTATCATTTAATATGCTTTTACTAGTAAGAAAAGGATGATTTCAAACCCTATTTTGTAATATTTGAGCATTCAACAACAAACATTGACCACAATGAAATCATGCATATTAACCAATAAAAAATTGTCATGTTTTGCAGATAAACTAGACCTCACTTTAGAGTTTATTATATGTTTTAAGCTTCATGTATATATAAAACTCACACATATACATATTGCACTTTTACTCGACTCGGAGTAGCGCTTTTGTTTGGGCCTTGGACCTGAGGTAATATAAGGGTTTAAGCGCCTATAGTTGAGTGTACCTTGTGCCTTTGACATCATTGGGACCAAGGACTTTAATGTCAGTGAGTCATATGTGATTCCTCTGTCTCTATATGTACTCATTATAGTTACTTTTCCTTGTTTTGTAGGACTACTCTGGTCAAAGCGCTAGTAGCATATCATCCGAACGTTGTGGTTTCATAACAGTGTTATATGGGACAGTTGTATTGTGCATTGTACTAGAGATCCAGATACTCCTCTTATCACAGGTATCTTTCATACATGAATTGTATCTCCTCTTATCACAGGTATCATTCATACTGAATTGATGAGTAACTTGTTTGAATTAGACCATCTGCTTCCTGAATTTGAATGCATTATATTTCCTAAATGTGTTTGATATGGGACTAAGGACAATTTTCGTTGAGCCTTGGAAAATATATTATTAACCAACAGAGCATAAAAGTTATTTTAGCTGATTACAGGTCCAAAGGAGGAGGAAATTTTAAGCAACTTCAATGCAAGTTTGGCCCTGAATAAAAAATTGAAGCTCTTAAACCCCAAAGGAATGTAAAATTGAATTATTCGTCCCATAGATGTTATAATTATGGGTAGGCATAGTGGACCCGTTGTAACTCCATGTCGGATTGGGGATTGGCATGGATTGGGTTGGGTGTTTGGTCAACATGACCTGACCCGAAAATGTTTACCCTTCATTCGAAACTCGTTCTGACCCGAGTTTAGGAGTGATTTTACTCAAACTCAATCCGATTTTTTGAGATAAAATCCGAACTCGATCCAACCTAAAATAATTATATTTATAAAAAATCATTATCGAATAAAAATAGGGATTTGATTGTAAAAATAATATATAGAGGGTTATTATTACAATTATCCTTAGATATAACTTAAATTTATGTTATTTTCGGGTTGGATCGCATGTATTTCAACCTAAAACCGAATCTAACCTGACTTGAAAATATATACCCTTCATCCAAAATCTGAATAAAAAAATAGGGATCTAATTGGAAAAAATATAGAGAGGGTTATTATTACAATTATCCTTACATATATAACTTAAATTTACATTATTTTTCTGATCAAATCAGTGTATTTTTCATCCTAAACCTAAATCTAATCCGATCCTAACATATTAGGAAAAAAAACTCCGATCTGATTCAAATTCAATTTTTTTAGAAATCCGATCGAAGCCGACCGGGTCAGGTCTGAACGTCGGATTCGGGTCCTGTGCCATCCTACCTTGGACACTCGAGGGCAAAGAATATAATAAAATGATGAGGATACTGTGATAAAAGCTAGATCACTCTATTGTTCTTTCAGTAATGCGTGCCATTTAACCCCCAAATCAGTTCGTCGAATGGGTACTTGTGTGCGGCGGTGGTCGGGGAAGGGCTTGTTTTCGGGTTTCAGAAGCTTTAAGGGTTTAACCAAAGAAAATTTAGACCCGAGAAGACAGTGTATGGTTTATCTCATGGAAATCTAAGGCACCTGAGGATAAAATAATCCAAACATTATGCTCTTGCCCAAAACTAAATTTATTAACACATAGTGATCATCAAAAAACCATTTGTCTCTTCTAGTCCAAAGAATCCAGCATATTATTGAGAATCAAACACCCCAATTCAACACTGGAAGCCTGATATTATTTGTTCTTGAGTAAATGTTCATGTGGTACGAGACATAGGAACACCCAGATTCATGGCCGAACATTAACCTTCGAAATATTCGATCAAGTGGCATTTTCTTCGTTAGAGTTTTCCGTCCCGGGTCTTTTATGCGTCGAGCTCGCAGAAAACGACTGCTTCTCCTTCCATCGTCAACGAGGAACACCAGTCTGCTTACTACAATGGACACATTCATTAACATCATCCCAAACAGTATTGAGAACCCTCCACAAATGATCAGCAGTCTTGACAGCGTAACTTGGTGCCTCTGAAGTCAATGCCAAGCTTGCATGAACACGCATTCCTTGGTTTTCATTCCCGTGCATGGCAATATCCCCCACGTCAAGTAAACCCTACTGCCTCGTTTATCGGAATGTCTGTTCAACTTACTCTTGATAGACGTACCCAGACTAGGATCTATGACGGGTGATCCTCTGTTGTGGTGAAATTCATATTTAAAGCTTCAACACTCGAGCTTCCAAATATCATGGAGGGATCTAAATGGATCGGGTTGGTTCGAATTTTTAGTCAACTCAATCTGAAAAATATGTATCATCCACCTGAATTCCATGGAGAATGCACTAAACCCCTACGGGGCTAAATGCATCCTATTATTTAAAAAAAAATGATTAAATTCAACGTAATATGTTAACGAAAAATGAAAAAAATTGTATACCCATTAATTTTAAGAAAATAATACTAAATTTTTAGACCCATTCTTAAATTTCTGGATCCGTCATTGTCTGAACTCGACCCGACCCGAAAATTATATACCCTCAACCTTTATTCACCCCAACCCGAATTTTTAAAGTATAAATCTGACCTGACCCGACTCGGTATAAAATAAAGATTTAATTAAAAAATAATATTTTTTAAGAAAATTACATTATTATCTCCGAGTCAGGTCGAAGTTTTTTCACCCACCATCTAAATCCAATCGAACTCAATTTATTTTAAAAATAATCCAACCCTATTCCGGATTTAAACTCATCGATTTCGGATTAATTTCTCATATTCATCCCAAGTAAAACTAGTGAGTAGTCCTTCCCATGGGGCAAATAGAATGAGAAGATAATCATTGTCCAAATATGTTATTACCATCTCCCCATCCGATTCCAAACTACTTGCATTATTCCTAATAAAGCTTTGTACACGTACAATAAATGAGTAGGAATTATGTCTGGATTTAAAAAAAATTCACTCGACTGAAAACTCGATCTAAATTTTAAGATAAAAACTCACACTTAATCCAACTGACAAAAACGTAAATTTGTAAAATCTTATTTTTATTAGGTAAAATAAGGATATAATCGAAATATATATATATATATATATATATATATATATATATATATATATATATATATTATACTAATTATGCTTAAATATAGAGGTTTAACCATATATTACTTTTTAGTTGAATATTTTTCATTTTAAATCCTAATTTGGCCTAGCTCAACCCAAATATATTTTCTGAGAAGAACTTAACCTTATAAAATTAGTTCGGGTCAAAATCTTGGGGTTCGGATCAATTTTTTTTTATTAAGCTAGATTACTAAATATTCTAAATACTCTCAATCATTTTGATAATTAACGCTCAATCACTTATATTGTAATCGTTGGTGCTTAAACAAAAAAACAATAATTCTTTTATCTACCGAGGCAACTTGATTTATGCTCGAATCAAATTCCTATCCTGATATTGAAGAAGACGATTTAGGATGGTGGGTTGGTAGGAATTATGTTTGGATTTTGCTTCATCTGAAACTTAGACTAAAATATAATAGAATTTTTTTCGTTGTTCGACCTGGATTCAGAGAAATTTCATCATACTCAAAACTCGATTCAAATTCGAAGATAAAAACTCACACTTAATCAAGCTGACACAAATATAAATCTAAAAAATCTCATTTTTATTAGATAAAATAAGAATATAATCAGAAAAAAATATAGATAGATAGATAAATATTATAATAATTATCCTTAAATATATGAAAATTTAACTATACTATTATTTTTTTTGGTTGAATATTTCTCATTCTAAATCCTAATTTGATCTAACTAAACCAAAATCTATTTTATGAGAAAAACTTAACAGTATAAAATTTTGGTTCGTTTTAATACCTAAACTATGAGTTTTGGTCAATTTTGGTACCTATTCATTCTTTTTTCAAAACTTACTATTAGATTTTGAACGATGTACTAAAATAAAATAAAAAATAAACTTTAACTATGATTTTGAAAAATTTAAAAATTTAAATATTAAAACAAATCAAAACTTATAATTTAGGTACTAAACTCATAAGAAATAAATGTTGATCATAACAACAATAAAATAAAAAGTAACTGGTGAATTGCTGGTTAGCCATTCAACCAAACGAACCAAAACTCAACAAAAACAAAATTTCTTTGTAATCCACAGCAAGATATGTATTTTAACAAAATGAGATGATTAACACAGTGCTTTGAGATTGGTTTAATTCACTGAAAGAGTGCTGTAAATGTCAAAAAACACCATATCAGTCCTCATGATTTCCTCGACGATTTAATCTTAATCTTGTGTTTCGATTGAGGTTTCTCACAAGTACCGATCACATCAACATGGTGGTGGTGTTGAGCTGATCTATGGTTACTCTTCACGTTCTTCTTCGACGTCGTTTTATTCTTCCTCTTCAATCCAAAAGCCCAGATCTTCTTCCTCCTCTTCTTCTTCTTCTCCTTTATCGTCTCCAGCTTGGGCTTCCAGTTATGGCGCGACGAGCCGACAAGCAACGCGTATTGTTTCTGCAACTGAGGCGTCGTGCAAACTCTACTGGAGCAGCTCTCTTCGCCACTGTCTTTCATTTTACTTTCTTCCATCAACTCGCTTATGAACTCATCGGAAACTCGGATTCTCAAACACCCGGACTCACTCTTCTCGACCTGGAAAGGTTGACAAGCGGCGGCCTTCTTCGAGTATCGAGCGTTGGCGAAGGAAGCAATGGTGACGAACGATAAAGCCGTCTGGAAAACTTGTTGGGGAAGAAGGAAGTAGTTGTGGCCGAGGCGGAGCTTGTCGTCTTTAGAGAGAGGCGGGATCTTTTGGCCTATGTAAAACGAATCGGATCGGCAGATCATGTGCTTGGGGAACTGGTTCAAGAGCTCGGCGACTTGAACGGGACGGTCGTATATCTTGACTTGTCCGTCGCAGTTGATGATCTTGAGTGTTCGACGAGGCCGCTCACGGCGGTGGTGGTTCTGTTGGTGGAGGCACGAAAAGTGGCTGCTCAATAACCGGAACCACCATGGATTTACATGTTTGATACCCATTCCTCCGACCATGTAGATTTCCAACGCCGGACGGTCGCCGGAAATATGGTGCCGGAGATTGAGATGATAACGTTGAACAATATTCCAAGGGAAAACAATACTAGTAATAGGGGGCCGTCCTAGAGTGGCTGGCATATGGATTGGCTATATATGCAAATTCAAAGTATAATACTTATTGGTGGAATTCTATTTGTGGTCCCTTCACTATCATTGAATTCAAGATTTATCTTTTTATACTTTTTTATATAATCTAATCCTTTACTCTTCACAAAAAGATGGTATCCAAATTTCTAGTTTTTCTTTTACAAAACAAACCCTAGAATTTTCACTCACATGGATCCGGCGAAGTCACCTTATTTTCTAAATATATATATATGATTTTATAAAAATGTTAAAATAAATTTAATATCAATTACAAAATTAATATCATAATCTAAATCTTTTAACTCTATCTTAAAATAAGATTCAAACTCATAACAGATTGTTTATCATTGAGTTATCGAAGAACAACAAGAGATTAAATTTTTATATTGTCACTGAGGAACATCAAGAGGAACTCTGCTATGTGTCGAATTTTTTATATATATGTAAATTGTCACTGAGTTGTTGAGGAACAACAAGAGATCAATATCTATATTGTCATCGAGCTATTCAGAAACAATAAGAAATCAAATCGCATAGAATTCAATACTCGTTCTCAATCATTGATCAATATATCATAAAATTCAAATTTCTCAAGATTCATTCGTAACCCCCGAGACTCCATATCGTATTTTATTATATTTTTATATTATCATTGGCAAGATATAAGAGATGTCGGGATTAAGATCATAATATAAATATTTCGTCTTTAATGATGCCAAATTAAAGTATGGAGATCATATCTTTAATTCGAGCATACTATAGGGACCGGAACCATAAAAACATATTAGTATTATTATATAGTACAACTACTAGTACTAATCAAACTGGAACTGAGAAAGCTGTAGACTTTAGACCAAAATCTAGAACAGGGACTGGGGGTTAGGCAATTGGGATGATGTTTACACAGGATATAAAGAGGCGTGCGACAATGGTAAACCTTTATCTAATTCAGGCAATTACTATACTATTATTACACTTTTGGTCCCTTGCTTTTGTCTGTATTGTTTTGTCATCATTTGCTTATATTTGACCCAAACTTTCTCTCTTTTGTTCTCGACGCCAAATGGGGCCATTTCGCTATCCCCGCGCTTGTGTTTTGAATCAGATCGACTGTGGTAGACGCTATGAAATAGGGACAAATTAGAAGAAATAAGCACGAGGCATTAGAGGACTTTTATTCTTTTTAGGATTAAAGTGTAATTTTACCTTTCTACTTGTTGATGATGGTTAAGATAAGAAATAATAGATCAAGGTAGTTTATTTCTTTTAATTTAGACCTCCAGTTGTTAAAATTTTAGTATGAAATAATAGCAATTAAGTGATCAAAGACAAATATTCTTATAAGAGTAAGAAATAAATAAAATTTTATCTAAATAATAACTACTAATGGATATTTAGAAATAGGGATGACATATTGGTAAAATTTTATAGATTCCGAACTCTATTTTTACCAATTGTAATGGGGATATGTATAAGATTAATGGGTAATGGACGTGTGCGGATGTAAAAAGTCATACTCATCATGTGTAATGATTAAGTGATGAATTCAATACCTTACTCATCTCGTATCCACCTACACGCTCACTAATTATCCACTATATAAAATTAAGATCATTATAAATTTAAATACAATTTCAAAGATTATTTTGTAAATATTAAGATTTTATAGGACATAACTTATAATTTAAACAAATATTATGGTATAAACAATTTTAAAATTAAAATATGTCGTTTCTCCTATCTTAAATTGGTGTATATGAACATGTACAAATGTATACGAGATGGGTTGTGTGTATACAACTAAGTAATGAGTATGAGGATGAATTTAAGAATGTATCTACGTGGACTGATGTTGATTTAAAAAATTTACTCGTCATGAGTGATGGGTAGGTGACGAGAAAAAAATATTAAGTGAGTATTAGAATGGAAGATGAGATATCCGCACATATCCTGTCCGTTTGTTATCCTACTTCGAAATGTCATTTCATTTCACAAATAATTATTAAATATACAATATGACAACTTTATATATAATTTTTTGAGTGTTCACCATTTAATTCACCCACATAAATAAATAAATAAATAAAACAAGATCAGGATCACATGTTTGAAGCATTTGGTAAGAGCACAAATGAGTGGTGACCCACACCGAAGTTTGATATCTCAATCTAAGACTTCTAAATTGTCAAATTCGACGTCTTGGATTATGGGTGATCCATCCATTATTCAATTCTAGAACATCACCATTATATTATTAATTAATTATTTTTTTAATAATAAAAGGTTGTTAAGGCTGTCTTTTGTTTCATATACCCTAGTTTGTATCAACCATATGCTTTCTAGATTCTAATGATATATTAAAGTTATTTGATATATAAGTTACTAAAATTTAATTTATATAACTTTAATTGTTTTAGGATTTAAAAAATCAAATTTATTGAGAGTTATTCGTGATCAAAAGGGAGCCCTTGAAACCCCATACTCAAACAGTTATGTTTATAGGGTTTGTATATTGTCAATAGCAAAAAAATCTTAGACAGACACTACCTTATAATTACTATAAACCATGAACGGAACCAAGATCAAATATTAAAGGGTAAGGTATTTAATTTCAAAACAATAAAGACTTATCGTGTATCTAATCTAAAAAAATTGAGGGGCAAAAGTTTAATTTTACTTAAATTTAAGTTAATAAAGACTTAAAATGCTATTAAACCATAAAAAATTAGGATGGACAAGAGTTTCTCCCCCTCCCTATATAACTTCGTCCTGTCGCATAATATTAAAAGAAATTCTATTTAAGATATGAGTTGTTAGAATTTAAAATTTTAATTTTTTAAATAAAATATATAAAATAAATTTTATAATATATATATTAAATTGTAACTTATATTATATACACTTAGGTAGTCCATTGTATTAAATTCAAAGTTGGACTCAGACCCCAATATTTTGACGTGCATGGGTTAAACACTAGTGAGGTCAGCTGCAGTGCAGGCATCTGTGGTTGTTAAGCCTCAACCACAACTTTTTCGAGGGGTATTTTGACCCCTTTGGATAGAGTCCTAAAACATAGTTTATGGTCTATGGAGTAGTTAATTGGATCTTCCAACTATCAATATTATCTTAAATTATCTTTTAAATATTTATAAGTAATCCTTGGAGTTCACAATATCAGAAGCATCTCAGGGAACACAGATTACTTGTGTGTTTGAAGTTTGAACTATGAATTAAGATATTGAGTAATTGTATAAAAAATATGTATTATTAATAAATTAATAAAATTTTAAATATATATTATATAAAAAAATTATGTCGTATCTGAACTCTTTAATATTTTTGGTAGTATGTTTTTTTCGATATGTCATGTGTAGGGGTGAGCGTTCAGTAGAGTCGAGTTAAAGTATTTTGAGATATTCGAGTTTACTTGAAATTTTTTCTAGTCGAGTTAAATTTTTCGAGTTTACATTTAAATTTAATTGTTAATATTTATAATATTACAATTATTTGATTCCAATTTAAATTGTATTTTATAATCATATGCAATATATATATATATATATATATATATATACACTTCGTGTTTTTTCATATGTAATTTACATATATCATACAAAGTCGATGGACTCGACTCAAACCTGGAAAATAATCTACTAATTGCTAAAAATTTCGAGTTATTCGAATTGTACTTTACAACTCGATTTGAACTTGAAATATTTTTCGAGTCGAGTCGAGTTTATGAAATTACAACTAGAAATTAATTCGAGTCTAAAAAATCGGTTTTTTTCGAATCAAGTCGAATTTTACTCATCCCATGAGTAGCGATAGTTAATAGGTATATGAAATTAAAAGAATGTGAAATCATGCTTGTATGCTTATAAGGTAATATGATACGATTAAAATATGAATTATACACTAAAATGATTGGAGTAAGTATATAATAGTATCTATTTAGAATTTTATTAACATAATGACAACATATTCAGCCACGAGATACATATGTTCAAACTTAAGTTATTCATCACTAAAATCACTAAATGAATTTAATATATATATATATATATATATATATATATTTGTTATTATATATATTTATATCTATTTTAATTATTCATCCAAATTACAAGGATAAATTTTAGTTGTAATTATTATACACAAATTGAATATTTAAACCAAAATAAGGGGAAAAAAGGTAAATTACATATTTAATACATAAACTATTATTTTTGTTTTGGTACTCAAATTTTATCTTTTTTCAAAAATATACTTAATTTTTAGTTTAAATTTCAATGTGATTCTCTATCGTTAAAAAGTTGATGTGACATGTTTTAAATTTTTTAATGATGATGTGATATTAATTTATATTGACACGTCAACATCATCATTAAAATTTTAATGATATGTACCAAAATGAACATTAAAGCAAACGTTAGATATAATTTTAAAATAAATAAAATTTAAGTATCAAAACATAATAAAATTAATAGTTTATATATTAAACATGTAATTTTCCTTAAAACGACTATATTGAATTAATTCGGTTCAATTAGATTCGAAGGATCATCTTTCCGCGCACCCTATTGGTGTGATTAACTAGCTAGTCTTGTAGAGAGGCGGTGGGAAATGCAGAGAGAGGCGGTGGATCGGGAAGAACACAGTTTGAAGTATTTATACATAACAGCAGGAGTAACTCGGAGACTTGTTTTGTATACAGTGAGCATCGGCTAAATCAAAGTGAAAAATGAAGCTGCGGAGCTGGTTAAAAATAGGTGCGTTGGTGGCTGTGCTTGCTATAGCCAAGCAATACGGTGGCGCGTTGGGATTGGATAAAGACGCCGCTCTCCGCTATTTCCAGCAATGGTCGGACCGATTAGGGATTTGGGCTGTCCCTCTCTACGTTTCACTCCACACACTCACTATTTCCCTCTGCTTGCCCTACGCCGTCTTCTTCGAGGCTGGCGCTTCTTTGCTATTCGGTTTCTTTCCCGCCGTACTCTGCGTCTTTTCCGCTAAGCTTATGGGGGCTTCTCTCTCTTTCTGGATTGGCAGGTATCCATCTCTCTGCTCTCCTTTTATTCCAATTTTGTATTATGATTGTTGAATTATGTTATTATAATCTTAATGTTCCTGATGGTTTTGCTTCCTTTTGCTGTTTGGATTTTCTTTTCTTCCCTTCCCTTCCCTTTATAAAGTTCCTCCTTTTCAAAGGAAAGTACTATCCCTTTTTTTCTACAACTGTTCCAAGGCTAAATCGTGTTTAATTTCCTAGATAGAATTGAATCTTCAATGTTCATAAATAAATATTTCCTAAATGCTAACTAGATATAGTGAAAACTCTTTTCTTCCCTCCTCTGTATAGGGTTCCTCCTTTTTAGATCAACTATTTGGTTTGTGACCGCTCCAGTCTTTTACTTCGGGCTTTGGATCAACATGTTGGGAACTTGAGGAAGAACATGATTGGTCAAGTATACTTGAAATAATTTATAAAAAATGAGTGAACTGAATGGGAGGAAGAAAGTAAATTTGCTAGTATTATAAAAGGTAAATACACCCCAAGTCACTATGCATTTGCTAGTATAATTACAGTCTATCAGTCTTTTTCTAATTCGAAACAATTCAATACATTTAACCCTTCATATTTAAAAAGTTTATCATTTTAGTCTTTGTTCTTCCCTTAAATTGCTTCTTCTTCTCCCATAAATGTTGCATTACTTTACTGGTATAATGACAGTTTAACATTAACTTGTAACTGCTTTATGCTAGAATGCCGTTATCCAACTGCTGCTTTAATCCTATGAGTTTACTTGAGTTGACAATATTGCAAAAAAAGACTTAAGTTTTTAAATATGAAAGGTTTAATTTATTTAATTGTTTCGAATTATGACAAAATTGATAGAATGTATAAGTTTTGGGACTAAAAATGTTATATATCAGCCACATTAGACGTGTGTTTTAATTTTAACGACAGATTGACCTACTTGGAGCAATATTTTAATTGGTTGACATGTTTGTAACTTTTTGAAGAAAAAAAGTGACCCGTTTGTTACCAAACACATAGTTGAGTGTATTTTACCCTATAATAAAAGGATATTTGTTAGAAGTTCAAGCATAATAAATTAAGGGGAAATCACAGTAGTGTTCAACAATGCTAATGTTAATTTGAAGGGCATGGCATTATCCCTAACCTTCTCTATTTGTCCAGCTATATTCATTGAAAGAATGACGACAAAGGGCATAATCTTAGTGAATTTATCGTAAGCAGCCAATCATCGAAAAACCAAGTTTGCATTGTTTATACTTGATTTCTCAAAACCAAGAGCCATCTTGTGCACCGGTAGTGTGCCTACTCATTTTTCTTAGCATCCTGAATCTGATGTTTGCATTGATCATTTTTCTTTTTGAGAACTATAAATTATTCTTTCCTTACGAATAATAACCGATTTTCGTAATGTTAATTTGTTTAGGCTGGTTTTCAAACGTTCGACTTCTGCAATGAACTGGGTCCATGGCAACAAATACTTCCACATCCTCTCTCGTGGCGTCGAACGTGATGGTTGGAGATTCGTCATTCTTGCACGTTTCTCTCCCATCCCTTCCTATGTCATCAATTATGGTCTAGCTGCCACAAATGTTAGATTCACAGTGGATTTTCTGCTTCCTACTGTTATCGGCGGTATCCCGATGATCTTGCAGAACACCTCCATCGGTAGCCTTGCTGGTGCAGCAGTTGCTTCGGCATCTGGCTCTCAGAAATCAAAGGTTTGGTCTTATATTTTACCTTCACTCGGGATAATGTCGAGCATTGTTATTTCCTTGAGGATCAAGAAGTATTCTAGTGATATTAACTTGGCCGAATCTTCCTCTACTGATCACTCCAAAAGTGAATAATGTTTAGTTGTTGACTCATATGAACCGGTACTATTTTTATCTTTTCCCCTTGTCTCTGGCTTCATTCACTGTTCCGAATCTCGGCCAGGTAACTTCTTGTTTTTCGATCTTAATTTTTTTTTCCAAAATTAAGATTAAAATGTATTACAACAGCAGATAAAAACATCAATCACTACTTTTTAGTTATCTATGTGTAACCTGATGATGCGGCGTGATAACATATGCAAAATGAGACCTAAGTGGGTCCAAATATTTTTGGTAGATATCCAGGATCACACAGTGAGGCTACAGGAAGAAGGTAGGACCGGAACCCATATTTGGGTGTTGGGGAAATCAGGAACCCATCACCGGATTAGGTTTGAACTTTGAACCTATCCTATCCAATGCCATGTTGGAAGACAGACAACCTTGTCCTCTTCAATCATCAAATGGACTGCCCACCCATAAATCCCTTCTTTGTTTTCACTTCCACTCCCCAAATTTCACGCATACTTTATTACACCCCTTTGGACTCTTCTCTCCAATCCCCCGTGTTCTTATCATTTTGACCATTTTTTTATATTTATAAACTTTTATTCGTTAAATTTAGGAGAGGTTGTATTCTCGCCAATTAAGAACTTACAAGTCGGTATATGTTGAGAATTTTATTAACCTGCTATCATCCATCCTTAAATACCAAATGGAAAATACTAACAATAGAACGGAATGTGGAATGGTTGGATGCGTGGCATGCAGAGCACATTATTTAGTAGTTGAGACAGGCCGGCACAGCTAAGAGGAGGTTTCCATGCAGATAATAATGCGAATGTGTGATAATCAACCACCAAATTCCATAAAGCTGACTGGAATTCGTAACCAGAATCGCCGTATGTTTTGGCCGAGACGTCGGTCCTTGTTTCTCACTTCAATCCCACCACGGACATTGACCTTGGGGAGACTTCCTATTTCAGCCTCTATTTGTTTAAACAATATACAGAAAGGTGAATCACACATCACATGACCGTCCATGACTTGCAAGACCAGGTTGGGGGATTAAGCACTTGACAAGCATCGACTTCCCTTTAATCATCATACACACACATGACCTACGAGCATCATCTAGTGAAGGTCCTATCTAGGTCCCTCAAAGTCAAACCCCTTAGGAACCATATTCATTGGCATGGTTGTAAATTGAGAAACTCTTCATGTGTGAAATTGTGATTGAAAGAGGGGTCACAATTAGGGATGTGTATTTCACTCTAATCTGATAGTTTTTTATTCAACTCATAAGGTTGATCTTTTAAAAAATAAAAATGAATTTCGATCGGTTTGGATTTAGATTTAAGGTACCAGGATAATAATTTAATATTTTTTTTATATATTTGGAGATAATTATTATAATATCCTATTTTGTCAAATAAGAGTAAGGATTTTACTTAAACCTGACGCTTTTCAAGCTAATCTGACTCAATAGGGGTCAGTTTACTCGTTTTATAAAATATAATGGATCTAGTCGATTCAGATTTTGTAAATATTGAGGTTGGATCGTGTGTTGGAGAAAAATCTCTGATTTAAGATTAAGTTTCTATTTTATCGAATAAAATAATACATTACATCAAATCATAAGGTTGAAAATAAACCTCTACTTCAAAATTAGAGTTAAATTTTGAATCAGATAACATTTTTCTAGACTTGGATTGAATCAAATTTAAATAATGAAAAATATATTTTAATCTAATTGAATTAACCGAAAATCCGATCTAACTTGATTAGTTAGCATCCCCAGTCCCATAATATGATTTCATGGATTAAGAAGAGAAGAAAAAGAGGCCAGTTGGCCTTCGGCCCAGTGACGGCAGTAATTAAAATTAAGATAATAATAGTAGAAAAGTGGAAGTGGTGAGATTACGGTCGGATAAGGGGCTCGACCAATACCGGAGTAACGCATGGCAGTGGAGGACTTGTCGTTTTGGCCTTTCTCTATAAACAAAGTGCACTGCATGTGCGCTTCGCCTCAGGTTGCTCCTGTTGCAGACCATCCCACATGCCCATGCCTCGCCCTGCGGTCCCCCCCTCCCTTTATCTTTTCCATTTTCTTATTAATAAAATCTGAATTATACCTTCATCGTCTTCCTTAATCTTTCTCGATTCAATAGATATTACTGTTTCAGTAATTAGCTGGATTCACAACGACCAACCCAAAGACAAAACATGAAACCGGGAAAATCAAAATCAAACACCATCCGACGATGGCCGACAGATGGTTGCTGTGGGAATGAGAGCAGTGAATCCTTCTAATAATAGGGGGGGGGAAAGACAGACAAAGGAAATAGAGTCAACATTGGCTGACTACACATCTCCAGGGGGACCATAATAGTAACCACACACGTAGAGGTAATTATTTATTACTGTTCTCAACTTTCCACGTCCTTCTCGAACACTAAATTCCAACCGAATTGGTCCAAATTACTTTTCACCACACACGTAAATCTAGGCACTTTGTCACACCGCCTAAGCTTCATTTACCTCTAGTTTCTTGATATATATATATAATATACTACCGAATTAGTTTTTAATAATATTATTTTCAAAAATCGAATATTGAGTGTACGATATCTTTTTCACTATGGGTTGACAGGAGATTTGATCCCTCCATTGGTAAAATCTGACGTCTGAGCTTTAACCTTTAACAAGTGTGACGTTAAAATTTTAAAAAATATTTTAATTTAAAAAAATTAAAATTAAAATAAAACACGTATTATTTATTTTTTTAACCGTAAACACTTAATATACAATAAATAAATTTTAAAAAATAAAAATATTAAAAATTAATTTTAAATATAATTTAAACACATTTTAAAATTTTAAAATTTTCAATCAATAGAACTATGAAATTGATCTTTGAATCTTTTAAGATTATTTATTTTATTCTTTTTTTCCTAAAACAACGAATGATTTTATTTATTTATAAAACATGTTTTCCTTTTAAGGTTAAATTACACGTTTATTTTTTCGCATAACATTTATTAAGCTATTTTAGTATTTTTTTTTGTAAAACAGCGATTATTTTATTAGTTTATTTTTATTTTGAAATTTTAAATTAAATATTAAAAGATATTCTCAATCATAAGACATATCAAAATCCATTTATAATAAGATAAATTTATTAATTATTATATATATATATATATTATATTTACATTAATGAGATTTATCTTTTATATATTAAATGAATTTGAACTTGTAAGGTAAAATTCGAATCCTATTACCATCACTTTTTATAAACAATATGTAAATTCCTACATAAATTTCAATTGAGTCTTAGATATATTTTAATCTTGGACTTGAGAATCACCTATGACCTGAACTTTTGTTAATCAAATAATAATAATTAATAATAATATTATTATTCTATTAAACTTTAATTCTACCTTTAAAATTTTATTTTATTTTTAGTTGATTAATCTATACATTTTCTTTTGTTGCCCTCGCGGTTACAAGACTTCGTTTTAATTAATTCGAATCGACTTGCGTAACACACCTAATTTTGATGAGTGAGTCTCTCAAAATATAGATTTTCTCTGCATACACAATGACTCGAACTTGAGACTTTGTTTAATCGATATTAAGTTGTTTATCGCTTGAATAAACCATGTTAGTAATTAATCTATACACTTTAATTATTTAAAGGAATATATCCAACTATGATCAAGATTTATAATATATTATCTCCAAATAAATAATACAAACTTATTTAATTTTATATCTGAACATAACATTGAAATCAAAGCCTACATAAAGCCACACCCCTGCTTTAGTTTTCCTCATTCATCAAACCACCTTCTGGTAATGTTCTGCAACATTTCTCTCTGAAATTCCCTCCCATTTGTTATTTTAGCAGTATCTGAATGTTTTGCTTCATTCTTTACAGGGAAAAAACATGGCCTCAACACAATGGATTCTGCTGCTGGGAGTGTTCTTAATGGCCTCCACAACAATGGGAGCTCCCCCAAGGAAGCCTGTAGCCGTCCCCTTCTCCAGAAACTATATGCCCACTTGGGCTTTTGATCACATCAAGTACTTTAATGGTGGCTCCGAGATTCAACTCCACCTCGATAAATACACTGGTATGAACAAATCCCATCGATGTGTTAAGTTTTCTCTTACATCAGTGTTTCAGACACAAGGTAACAACGGTTTGTGTTTCATATTGTGAAAAAGGTACTGGCTTCCAGTCCAAAGGATCTTACTTGTTCGGGCATTTCAGTATGCAAATGAAGCTTGTTCCCGGAGATTCTGCCGGAACTGTTACCGCCTTTTATGTAAGAAGAAAAAAAACTTGATGTTACAGTCTTGGCTGTGTTTTTCCCATCGGAGTTTTAACGGTTTGTTGTTCGACGTGTTTGATGTTTCAGTTATCTTCTCAAAATTCAGAGCATGACGAGATAGATTTCGAGTTCCTGGGGAACAGAACAGGACAGCCGTACATTCTTCAGAGCAATGTGTTCACCGGCGGCAAAGGAGATCGAGAACAAAGGATTTATCTTTGGTTTGATCCGACCAAAGCCTACCATTCCTATTCTGTTCTCTGGAACATGTATCAGATCGTGTAAGTATTTTTTATTTCTTAATCTTTTAACTTTATTTTTCAAGTCGAATCGAATTTAAAAAATATTATAATCATTTCAGGTTCTTTGTGGACGATATACCGATAAGGGTGTTCAAAAACTGCAAAGATCTGGGAGTGAGATTCCCATTCAACCAGCCGATGAAGATATACTCGAGCCTATGGAACGCCGATGACTGGGCCACGAGGGGTGGCCTGGAGAAAACCGACTGGTCCAAAGCCCCATTCATCGCCGCCTACAAGGGCTTCCACATCGACGGTTGCGAGTCGTCGGTGGAATCCAAGTTCTGCGCCACACAGGGCATGAGGTGGTGGGACCAGAAGGAGTTCCAGGACCTCGACGGCTATCAGTGGCGGAGGCTCCGGTGGGTCCGCAAAAAGTTCACCATTTACAACTATTGCAACGATAGGT